AGAGTGAGAGAAGCGCAGACTACCACTGATCAGTGCAGGAGCCCTTCCCCTCACATCTTCACTAAAGAGAGAGGTAGAGAATCAGGATGTTCCCAGAGCTCTCCAGCTCCTATTGCTAAACACTGACCAGCCCATTCTGATGGCACTAAAACTTTCCTCGGGGCTGAGGTTGCCGTGGGATCTAAGAGAGAAGTGGCATTCCATGTTCCGGATTCAAGTTAATTGCATTGCCACAATTACTAATTACATCAGCTATCCTTTCACTCCTTCCCCTCAAACTGCCCTACAGAAACACGATAAAATTGTGTTCAAACTCGATTTTTCCTAATATTTGGTTTGAGTTTTGGGGGGAGGAGGGGGTTGAAGGGGTTTTTTTTGTGGGTTTTTTTTTTTTTTGCCTGTTGAGATATCTGGGGACTATTTTTAGAGTAAGATTGTAAAACATGTCAAGTGAAAAAATACACGGCATCTTCAGAAAGCATATGCTTTTCATGTATTTTTGACTACATTTGTGGTCAAGACTCATCAAAAGATATAAGTTCTTTAAATTCTGTGGAATTCTTGCATTCTAAATATATTCTGAAAGAATACAGAAACATTCAGTTTATGACAGATGTACATAATACAAAAGGTATTTCTGTTTGTATTCCCCCAGTACAGAAGACTTCATCTGAGATTGCTTTGACCTTGATATACCACCAGACTCTAGAAATGCATAGGGCTTTGATGCTGTGCTTATGCTAAATTTATGCTAGCATATTCCCATTCCCCCAAATCTGTTAGTTCAGATGTGTCATGGGTTCAATCATTCACCTTCTCCCAAAGAACATGGGAAGGTGTTTCACACAGAGTGGGTGAAACGCTGGTCCTACTGACTCAGTGGATACATGATTTCATTTCCAAGGGTCCAGATTTGCACCACAGAACCTGAATATGGAGCTCTGCCCAAAGGAGATCTGAACCAAGGTTTGCTTTACCAGAGTCCTCATTCCAATACGGATAGTGGAAAATCTTTAGGATTTATCTACCAGTGGCTCTAGAGCTAATCTGTTTGTAGCTGAATTATGATACAAACTGGCCATCTGCCCAGTATTTTTAAGTATTCTTCTACTCTCTATCCAAAAGCTGTGTTGAGTAATATACCAGAAGAACATACTAATCTAAATATTAATGGAATGATTTTTAAGATATCTTTATAGAACAGAGATCAGATTTTCAAAGTTCTCAGCCCTTCTCACAAACGTATGAGAAAATCCACTACCCTAGAACTAACTGTTGTTGCAACTAACAGAATTAGATTTCTCCTGTCCCCTGTCCAGATTAAATACTTCAGTTTTCAGTGGAGAAGCATTTAAAATAGGCTGAAGGGGATGGAGCAAGAACAAAAGATCACTGTTAAAAATTTCCAGGAATGCTGCAGCAGTCTTCATTCTCACAATCAAAGAATCACAGAATCACAGAATCACAGAATGGCTGAGGTTGGAAGGGACCTCTGGAGATCGTCTAGTCCAACACCCCTGCTCAAGCACGGTCATCTAGAGCACTTTTCCCAGGATCGCATCCAGGCGGGTTTTGAATATCTCCAGGGAAGGAGACTCCACAACCTCTCTGGGCAACCTGTTCCAGTGCTCTGTCACCCTCACAGGAAAGAAGTTTTTCCTCAGGTTCAGACGGAACTTCCTGTGTGCACAGTGTGTGCCCGTTGCCTCTTGTCGGGTCGCTGGGCACCACGGAGAAGAGTCTGGCCCCATCCTCTTGACACCCTCCCTTCAGATACTTGTAGATATGGATGAAGTCGCCTCTCAGTCTTCTCTTCTGCAGGCTAAACAGGCCCAGCTCTCTCAGCCTTTCCTCATAGGAGAGATGCTCCAGTCCCCTCATCATCTTTGTAGCCCTCCGCTGGTCTCTCTCCAGTAGTGCCATGTCTCTCTCGTACTGGGGAGCCCAGCACTGGACACAGTACTCCAGATGTGGCCTCACCAGGGCGGAGTAGAGGGGCAGGATCGCCTCCCTCGACCTGCTGGCAACACTCCGCCTAATGCAACCCACAATACTATTGGCCTTCTCGGCCACAAGGGCACATTGCTGGCTCATGCTTAGCTTGTTGTGCACCAGGACATCCCATGACTTTCTGTGCAGAGCTACTTTCCAGCGGGTCAGCCCCCAACCTGTACTGAGGAAAACTATACTGGTGCTCCTGTAATGGCCTTTGGTTGCTCCCTCCTGACAATTTCTGTCTGTGGGGCTTTGGACAGTAGATCTAAATAGCTTATAGCCGCTTGTTCTGTGCTCCTATCCTTAAGGTTTTTACTAGTCTTCCTACTATGGAAGAAAGAAAACCAATCCCCCTTTGCAATGCATACACGTGTGACTAGACCTGGCTTTACTGAAGCAGGCTGGCCAGGAGAGGAGCAGAAAAAAGAGTGAAAAAATCTGAGCCTCCCCGTGATTACCACCATGAGCTCCAGGTCATATGGCAGGGGAGGCTACACTGCAGTGCACTGGGGTCTGGCCTGACTGCTTTTTTCCTTCTTCTACTGCAGAAACATGGCAGAGCCACTTTGCAGTACAGGACTTGCCCATCAGTGGATAGCCAAATAAAGTAAGGAAAATCTTGTATCACAAACTATGCTTTTCTCACTTCTTTGGCAGGGGAATTTCAGAGCAAGATGATTTCAGTGCTGTGCACGTGTTTTAGGTGGCAAGTTCCTGTTCACATGACTTCGAGGGGAGGAGGGGGAAGAGTGACACTTCAAAATAATCCTTTTTTATTTCTCATTCTCTCCTTCAGTTATCTTGCCTTTGTTTGCTCCAGATAGAGGACACGAGTGAAGGAGAAAGAAGAGTAACTGAGATGTCAATGCTTTCAAACACATATGTCAAAGTTTATCACCTAGCACAGGCAGCAGCCAGGACAGAGAATATGAAAAGAAAGCATGGAGAAGTAGAAAGCTCTGCCTATTTAGAGCTGGTGTTAAATGATTCAGGCTCAGGAAAGAGAAAAAGATACTTTCACTGTGCCAACTGCTAAGACAGAAATGATGGGACCCTGGAAATAATGGACACTTGACAGATCACTGAGCACTGACTTCATACAGCTGACTCATCCTTCCGTAACAGCTTGCATCTTCTACCTCAATATCAACCAGCCTTATCTTCTGCTCAGGGAAATCCCGGTAAAGGCACACTCTCCATGGGCAGCCTGGCACATGAAGACCTTCTTATACTGTGTAACCAAATGTGTTTCAACTTGCAGGACTCCTTTATTATCCTCACACTCTGAAAGAGAATATACTTGAGAGGTTTAGAAAACAGCTCAGCAGAGCTGCTTGTAAAGGGCACCATTTACAGATGTGAGTATAGATGGCTGTATATGAACTCCAGCAGCATGTTCATGACAGAGGAAAAGGCTTTCAGTCTTACTGATGTTGTCACAGAGAAATGAAAGAATCACTAAGAAGCAGCACTGGTCAAGAAGCAAATGAACCCATAGCCAAACTTCTAGTGATGTGTACAAAGTTAATGTAAAGCCTTGAGCTCTCTCCTGCAGGCAGCAACAGCTTTACACTACTTGAGCAGTGTGAAGCAACTCCATGCTGAACTACTCTGATACATCTTTGCATTGTTAGAAAGGAGGAAAGAAACCTTCATGTAAAATGATCAAAATCAGCCTTGCGGGCAACAAACCCAGCTAATGCTTATCCTTTCCTCTTTATTAGCTATATATATATCTCACTATTAAAACTAAAACACTAAAATAAATAGTAGTACTAAATCTACGTGGGACCAGCCTACTAGTCAAATAAATAGTTCTTCCTTGTGCTAAAGGAGGTAGGAAAAATACAGTCTAAGCTATTATTCCCTAAGCCTATATATCTTCTGTGATCACTCTCCCTGTATTTTATAGCCAGTCTCTCTCCTAAGAGACATAGAGCCCTAACATTTTCCAGGAACTGTTTATGAATTTATAAAGTTAGGTCACGGGGGAACAGTATCTTGCTATGTGACACTCAGTTGCGTGGAAGCTTTAGAAAAAATTTTAGAATCAAGAGTTTCAGAAAAATAAGCTGAAATATGCTTATTAAAATGTTTTTGCACAAATGCTTCCAGTCAGGGTTGGTTAATGATAACTTTGCACAGAGATCCAGTCTTAATGAAGAAATTGTTTTCTATGACTAGCTTAATCAGCTAGGTGGGTTTAGTAAGTGGTGTAATTAACAGCACCTTCTGTTTAAACTAATTGAACAATTACTAATTCTCTCATAAAATGTGAGAATAATACATTTTAGTTGGGTCAAGTTGATCTGGTTTCAGTGAGGTCAACAAGAGCTATACAGATGATTCACTGTGTGTTTTGCACATACACAGGAAGACAGATTAATCTATTTGTGTTTTACTTTTTCTTCAATGTATTGCGTGGTTTCTGTAACCAGTGAGTCTAGATAACTGTTTGGACCCGTGAGTCCAAATATATGTACCACGGAGCTGCTTGAGATGTTAGTCAGAACACCTGGAATTAGCTAGATTTCTGCTGCCATCTACCTGCAAGTAGCTTGTTTCTACAGGGTACCTAATAAGCAAATGCTACATGCTCCAAGTACCAACAGCAGTAAAATTAACTCAAAAAGGTTGACTGAAGCTACTGAAAAATAAGCCCAAAGAAACTCAAAGTGCAAAAGTTACTCCCTACTGCTCCCCACGCTAGTAAGAGCAGAGTAAAATTGTACTTGCAGAGCAGATTAAACACCAGAAGCTATCACAGAATAGTAATTCCAGTTTCACCACAAAGATAAGCCCTAACACTGCCTGTTCCTCTCACACACATTTCCCCTTTAGGGTTAAAAGCTTACAGATTATAGATCCACTCTTCCAAGTAATCTCTTTATTTGTCTGCCAGGACAATGAGCTATATGAGGTCAATCATTTACTCATATTAGCTCATTTTTGTGGCAAAAATGGAGCCTGTTCCCCATTGGTGAACAACGCCTAACTGGAAGGGGACAGTTGTATGGTGAATTAGAAATGGAGGCAAAAAGTTCTTTGCAAGACAAGCAGTGTACACTTTGCATGCCAAACTGCATGCAGTAAGCAGATTGCAAAACTGTACACATGCACAAAACATGAACTCCCTGTTTGGCACCACCTATGTTTGCAAAGATCAGTCCAAAAGGGTTTCATCTGGCACAAAGACCCTCTGCAGGTCATTGGCATCTGTTTTTTCTTCAATGGTTTTGATGCAGCTGTTTTACTTACACCTGTTTCAAATTTAGCTTCTTCTCCATGCCACTATAGAAAGAGGAGGGGATACTGATAAACTTCTCTCAATCCAATGTCTGTTTTAAAGCTTATTTTCATGTGTTATGTTCCCAAGAAAGAATTTGCAAGGGAGGTAAAACACAAATATGTACACAGCAACATCTATATAGTCATATATGTGCACACCCCAGCATACCACTTGGATGTTTGCCAAAATAGCCTAGCCCTGGTGACGAACCATGTAAAGACACAGACATCTGCCTTTATATATGCTTATTCCATATAAGCACATACAGATGCAGCCCATACACAGCATGCATGATCACAGATGGATGTCACATTCACTTCTTCCAATACAGTAACTCTGCAGCTAGCTTTTCCTCAATCTACCCTTAATGCCTCTTGTGCCCAAGTCCTTCATGCCTCCCTCCACTCCCTTGAAAATAGCAATATTCACTCCTAAATGTTGTACAAACCTTTGTTGGTAACTTCCCAAGAAACTTCAAAGAGCAACAAATCCTCCACTGGCAGGTCTTCATCCTCCCACTGAGGAAGACCATTAAGAGAGGTCATAGACAGTGATCTAGCCAGCGGCATTTTCTTCAGCCCTTTACCACTCACCACACAGGCCACAACAGTTCTCAAATGTCCGATTACTGTGGTGGCTCTCTGCAGTTCTGGTTGGAGTAGTCTGTCGGTGTGCTGGGCTCGGAGCAGAAAATTTACTCAGAGAGCTGGGAGCTAATGGGTTTAAACTGTCTGACCACCAGCATTAAATTGGCTCAGTGAAATCCTCAGGGCTTGAGAAGCAGCTGCTGGTAGAGGTAAGAATTTAAGACTGTTCTGAGCAAGGTCTTGAGCGTTTTGGGGCCAGGTCTGTTTTCTCCCTCAGAGGGAGGTAAAAATCAGTTTTGAGCTCCCCAGCCACAGTATCTACCACCTCAGGGACAACTGAAACTCGCCAGTGGTAAACACAGCACTGCCCTGAGCAAACTCCAGTTGGGAGGACGCTCTGAGTTCACCACCTGATTTGAGCCCAGCCCCCAAGTCCTCCCCTCGAGATACACCCTTCCTGTGACCTAACACTCATGGACCTTCTCTATTCCCTGGCTACTTACCAGCAGGATAAGTAGACTCTTTCTGCATGATGTCTCTTAGATGACTTCACAGGTTAAACACTGTTACCTATTCTCAATCAGTTCATCAATCTATGTGCACTAATACATGCCTTTCCTTTCTTCCACAGTTAATTCCTCTTGCATCCTCAGGTTGTCAACTTCATTCTGTTCTTGAGCAACCTTGCAGCCCTGAGAGCTTTTACAAACAGAGCTACAAAGGCGCGGTCCCTACTTTTGCATGCATTCTTGGTGGCTTTCCTTGCAGTCCTGGTCCCTGATTTTCCATCTTTTTTCTCTTTTTCCACGTCATAGGTCTTTCCTGGCCTTTGGGCCCAGGTTCCTTACTTAGAGAAACTAGTGAGTAGTGAAGCAGGGAACAATGTGGCCCTGTTTTGCTCCAGGACACAGCTGGGATGCTGCATTCATATCTGAGGGGGTGCAGCCCCCTAACCCAAAACCTATGATCCTGCGAGTGGCTGTCTGCTTTGAAGATGCTTATGTGCCTATGTGTCTAGTCAAGAACCCAGTGTTTCTGAGACAGCTGTATAAGCTATATCTAATTCTAAGCTTGAAAAGCAACCCGTCCCAAATCCAGAATTCAGGAGTGATCAGATCTCCACATGAGATCAGGGGTGTCTCTGGGACTGTTGAGGATAACATTGCGCTGACAAGCATGGACTTCCTAATAGTGTGGCTGGACAAGTTCTGACCTCGCTTAAGACAAAAAAAGTCCAGGTGAATTAGAGCAGGTAGCTGTTCTGTGTAAAAATAGCAGAAGTGTGACTTCTTTCTCTTTAACTTATAGGAGTGTGACTTCCTTCTCTTTAACTTATAGGATCCAGGAATGAGCACTGCAGATTATACATAATAGCATGTACAGACAGTCTCCTGTGAAATAAGAATTTGAGGGACCCTGTAAACAAATAGTTTTGTGAACTGTGGAAGAGTTTAAGGCCCACAGAGGCCAGTGTTGTCCTGTCACAGAATAACCATTTTATAGTTTCTCACTATATTGTTAGCCTGCAAAACTGTTGGCTTACATGACCGCATATCAGCGCTTGTACTTCAGAAGAGCTGCCCTGATACATTACCACATAGCACAGAGATGCTAGAAAATAGCCCAGCAGCTTGATTCCCAGGAAACAAGTTTCAAACCCAGGCCAGAAGAAGCAGAGGGCATTAGATGTGCTTCTGTCAGAAAAGAATCACTCGGGGCATAATATAATACAGCTGAGCCTATCTTTACAGTTAATTATCACCAGATTGTCTTGGTCATCTGTTTGCACTTCTCCTTGGCCTCCCTACACTTAGAGCAGTCAGCTCCATCCCTGAGCTGATGGCTTCACTTCATTGAACTCATCCAAGACCCCAGAAAGATTTTTTGCTAAGTTAGAAAATGGAGCTGGCTCAGCAGAAGGTCTGGCAAGTGTCAGAGAGGATGGAACAGCACAGCTGAGATGCGGCGAGAGACAGGAAAGGTGAGAAGGAGCATTTCCCACTACATGCCTTTCTAGTGAGTGAAGCTGATAGACTGGCTTGGCTATACTGTGCCATTTCACCCATAATAGACTGAGCTGGACTTCTGGGGAACAAGGTTTCCTTGCTAGGTTAACTGGAAGGCATTGCTGCCTGACCAGGGAAGGATTCAGCAATTTATTGGTTGGTCATCTTTTTGTCTCAGTGGTTTGAGTTGCCCTGACTATCAGTTTATGAAAAAAAAACAGTTGTGAAACAGTATTTTTGGAGCAGCTGCAGCAATTGCCTGTCAGCCTTACCTCCTGGAAAGGTGATGGAACAGCTCATCCTGGATGCTATCTCTAAACCTGTGGAGGACAAGAAGGTGGTCAGGAGTAGTCAGCATGGATTCACCAGGGGGAAATCATGCTTGACCAATCTGATAGCCTTCTGTGATGGAATGACTGGCTGGGTAGACGAGGGCAGAGCAGTGGATGTTGTCTACCCGGACTTCAGCAAGGCTTTTGACGCTGTCTCCCATAACATCCTCATAGGCAAGCTCAGGAAGTGTGGGCTGAATGAGTGGACGGTGAGGTGGATTGAGAACCGGCTGGATGGCAGAGCTCAGAGGGTTGTGGTCAGTGGCACCAAGTCTAGTTGGAGGCCTGCAGCTAGTGGCATCCCCCCAGGGGTCAGTCCTGGGTCCAGTCTTGTTCATCTTATTCATCAGTGACCTGGATGAAGGAGGGACCAGGACAGGCTGGAGAGGTGGGCAGAGAGGAACCTCCTGAAGTTCAACAAAGGTGAGTGCAGGGTCCTGCATCTGGGCAGGAATAACCCCATGCACCAGGACAGGCTGGGGGCTGACCCGCTGGAAAGTAGCTCTGCACAGAAGGACACGGGATGTCCTGGTGCACAACAAGCTAAGCATGAGCCAGCAATGTGCCCTTGTGGCCGAGAAGGCCAATAGTATTGTGGGTTGCATTAGGCGGAGTGTTGCCAGCAGGTCGAGGGAGGCGATCCTGCCCCTCTACTCCGCCCTGGTGAGGCCACATCTGGAGTACTGTGTCCAGTGCTGGGCTCCCCAGTACGAGAGAGACATGGCACTACTGGAGAGAGACCAGCGGAGGGCTACAAAGATGATGAGGGGACTGGAGCATCTCTCCTATGAGGAAAGGCTGAGAGAGCTGGGCCTGTTTAGCCTGCAGAAGAGAAGACTGAGAGGCGACTTCATCCATATCTACAAGTATCTGAAGGGAGGGTGTCAAGAGGATGGGGCCAGGCTCTTCTCCGTGGTGCCCAGCGACCCGACAAGAGGCAACGGGCACACACTGTGCACACAGGAAGTTCCGTCTGAACCTGAGGAAAAACTTCTTTCCTGTGAGGGTGACAGAGCACTGGAACAGGTTGCCCAGAGAGGTTGTGGAGTCTCCTTCCCTGGAGATATTCAAAACCCGCCTGGATGCGATCCTGGGAAAAGTGCTCTAGATGACCGTGCTTGAGCAGGGGTGTTGGACTAGACGATCTCCAGAGGTCCCTTCCAACCTCAGCCATTCTGTGATTCTGTGACTTACTACCTGGAGCTGACAGGAAACCAGACCATCCTATAGCTTAAAAATCATGTTATTTAAAAGAAAACCTCCTAACATTTTAAGTGTGAGGCTCTCACTTCAGAACCATCACATCTGCTCAACACTCCCAATACTTCTCTTTGGAAACCCTGAGGGCAAGACTGAAAGCTGCCAGTCTCACAGAGACCACCTCGGCTGGCTGAGGAACAAACCAACCCCTGGGCTCAACCAAGGCGCCCCTCTGTGCCAACAGGTACGCTGCAAAAGCAGACACTGTAAACGAGCCAGCTGGGAATCTGCCTCCCTAACCGGCTGCCGGAGGACCGCGTCA